TGGATATTTAGATATAGGACCAACTTATTGAATGAATAGTGATCATTTATATTTTGAAAATGTGGCTAGATATTTGGGGGGGTGGTTACTTGGGATTAAACTCAGGGGCACTCCACCACTGAGCCACATCCCCAGCCTGTTTTCTCTTTTATTTAGAGACAGGGTCTCTAAATAAAACTGAGTTGCTTAGTGCCTTGATTTTGCTGAGGCTGGCTTTGGACTCAGAATCTTCCTGTCTTAACCTCCCGAGCCAATGAGATTACAGGTGTGGCTAGATATTTTACATGTATCTTCTTTGATGCTGACCGTAACCTTTCAGAGAGAGTGGTTTTATTCTCATTTTATGTGTATAAAGCAGCTACAGCTCACACAGGTTAGAAACTCACCCAGGATTGCTCAGTTCATAGGTGGAGGAGCTGATATCTGAGCCTAGGTCTCACCTCCTGATCTGTGCTCTTTGTAAACTACTGTGAACTTAGAGTCTTAAGAAGATATTTTACAGATGAATGTATTTTTTATTAATATAAACATTTTGAATGTATTTGGAATGTTGCTGTATTATTACACAAACAGAAAACTTGGGCGTCCACGTGGAACTAGAAATTTTTTAAGGAGTAATTATATTTTACTTTAATAAATTAATCAGACAAAAGGAAAGGAAGAAAGGAAGAAACAAGTTTTATCTAGCAAAACTTGGTTGAAATTAAGAAAAATCAAAAACAAAAACTTAAAGGAGGGCTGGGGATGTGGCTCAAGCAGTAGCGCGCTCGCCTAGCGTGCGTGCGGCCCGGGTTCCATCCTCAGCACCACATACAAACGAAGATGTTGTGTCTGCAGAGAACTAAGAAAAAATAAATAAATATTAAAATTCTCTCTCTCTCTCTGTCTCTCTCACTCTCTCTTTAAAAAAAAAAAAAAAAAAAAAACTTAAAGGAACTAAAAAGAACAAGCAAGGCAGGTTTAAGAATGGATTCCTAACCAGGTTACTGAGGTGAAAGATTGGAGCAAACCTGGGTGAATTCTGAGTTGAGGTGTCAGATTACCTAGAATTTGTGATGCAAGGATGATTGAATTTGATATTGATGTTTTGTTTCATCTATCTAAGTGGCATTTGAGGAGATAATTACTATTCTGCACAGGAAGGAGAAGCGGTCAACATTTTTAAAATGACTTTATTTCCATTCTAAGTTAAATATAAATATGAAGTTCTAGATGCAGGTAAACTAAACTCCTAGAGCCCAAGATGGGCATATTTTACATGTCCTCAGGGAATATATATTTTAATAGCTAGATAGATTTTTGTATAAACAAATGTTATAACATGTGACCCACACACACCTTATTTTAATCATAGGGGCATTATTACTTCAGTATTACTATTGCAAAATTCTCTTGGGGCCGTCTCAAAGCAGTGGCCGACTCAAAGCATGTCTCCAGCATGGGTGGGTCCTACAGTATGGATGCAAAGTTTTGATTACTTCACTATGAATATTCTGTCAGTGAGTGAGTGCCTCTTACATGGGAGGAACTGGCTGGATTTGGGGACACACCAAGCCAGTGACACACAGAGTCTGTCCTTACTGAGCATAGAGCCCAAGAAAGGAAGACAGCATGTGAGATGAGTACATGCTGAAGGGAGGAGGTGCATCCGCAGCAGAGTGATGAGCCAGCTGGCGGGGGTACAGGGACAGGATGGGAGACTCAGAAGTTATGTAGGGCATAGAAAAGGTAACATTTGATGTAAGCTTGAAAGAATGATTAAGAATGTTCAAAGGGAAGCACATCAGAGGCATGAGAACATTGATCAAATGGTAAATGTGGCCATAGATTAGGAAGCATAGCATTACCAAAGATAGGCTGAGAAAACTTAAGTCATCCAGACAAAGTTGTGTTAGTCGTGAAGTTGATTTGCATTCTAACACAAGTTCCTTAGCTTTGCTTGGACTGAAACAGTTCGTGGATTGACACTATTCACAGACCACAAGTGGACCACAACATAGACCACAGTTGGAGTGGCACTGCCCTGGGCTTCTGAGGTGAGCAGGGYTAGAGCTTCCTGAAAAAGAAGGATTCTGAAAAAGTGAGTCCAGGGTGTCTGAGTCATGGAAGAGTTCGGAAGAGGGCATTAGAGCCATGTGGCCTTTTTAGGGTCAAAGATTATGAAGGGTCATTGATGAAGGTCTCTAACTCCTGTTTGGAGCAAGTGAGAAAGTCTGTTGGCTCCCAATCCTTTGGAAGGGTTTGTGAGAAAGGACAGTCTTCACTCAGTGATAGACATTGGTGATGACCTCACTGGGCTGTTTCTCCAGACTTTTTAAACAAATTATGTTGTTTTTAAAGACTCATTTCAGGGGCTGGGGATGTGGCTCAAGCGGTAGCGCGCTCGCCTGGCATGCGTGCGGCCCGGGTTCGATCCTCAGCACCACATACAAACGAAGATGTTGTGTTCGCCGAGAACTAAGAAAAAATAAATAAATGTTAAAAAAAAAAAAAAAAAGACTCATTTCAACAAGGCTGCATAGGAACAAATTTTCTCTCGGTTAACTGGAATAATCAAGCAGTATACTGATGGAAGAGATGTGACTTCTGTTGTTACATAAAGAGGGAGAAGTCTATAAGGTAATATAACTGAATATGTGCTTGTTTAAGGATACAGTAGGGAAATCATCGTTAGAATAAGATTTTCTTACAAGAAGCATATGTTAGACCATTTTGGGGGTACTAATTAGTTCTACACATGACAGTAGAACACATTTTGATACATCATACATCAATGGAGTCTAACTTCTTATTTCTGGTTGTACATGATATAGAGTTACACAGGTCATGTAATCATATATGCACATTTTTAAGGAATAATTATATTTTATATATTAATAATGTCTGATTCATTCTACTATCTTTCTTATCCCATATCCCCTCCCCTTCTTTCACTCCCCTCTGTCTAATCCAAAGTATGTCTGTTCTCCCCTATACCCCCAACCCCTTAATGTGAATTAGCATATCATAAGTAAACATTGGACATGTCAAAGAAAACGTTGGACCTTTGAGATTGGCTTATTTCACTTAGCATGATATTCTCCAGTTCCATACTTTTACTGGTAAATGCCATAATTTCGTTCTTCTGTAAGGCTGAGTAATATTCCATTGTGTGTGTGTGTGTGTGTGTGTGTGTGTATCAATCATAATTTCTTTATCCATTCATCTGTTGAAGGGCACCTAGGTTGGTTCCATAGTTTAGCTATTGTGAATTGAGCTGCTATAAACATGGATGTGGCTGTGTCACTGTAGTATGTTGCCTTTAAGTCCTTTGAGTATATACCAAGGATTGGGATAGCTGGGTCAAATGATAGCTTGGTCCATTCCAAGTTTTCTGAGGAATCTTTATACTGCTTTCCAGAGTGGTTACACCAACTTGTAGTCCCACCAGCTATGTATGAGTGTACCTTTTCCCCCACATTCTCACCAACATTTATTTTTGCTTGTATTCTTGACAGTTGCCATTCTGACTGGAGTGAGATGGAATCTCACTCTCCAGATGGATTTGCATTTCTCTAATTGCTAGAGATGTTGAACATTTTTTTCATGTATTTGATGATCAATTGTATTTCTTCTTCTGTGAAATACAACTTAGTTCCTTACCCATTTATTGATTGGGTTATTTGTTTTTTTGACGTTGATTTTTGAGTTCTTTATATGTCCTGGAGATTAATGCTCTATCTGAGGAGTGTGTGGTAAAGATTTTCTCCTATTCTGTAGGCTCTCTCTCTTCACGCTACTGATTGTTTCCTTTGCAGTGAGGAAGCTTTTTAGTTTGATTCCATTCCATTTATTGATTCTTGATGTTACTTTTTACACTTTAGAAGTCAGTTCCTAAGCCAACGTGGTGCATATTTGGGCCTACTTTTTCTTCTATTAGGTGTAGGGTCTCTGTTCTAATGCGTAAGTCCTTGATCCATTTTAATTGATTCCTGTGCAGGGTGAGAGAGAGGGGTTTGATTTCATTTTGCTACATATGGGTTTTTCAGTTTCCCCAGCACCACTTGTTGAAGAGGCTAACTTTTCTCCAATGTATGATTTGGGCACCTTTGTCTAGTATGAGATACTGTATTTATGTGGGTGTTTGACTCTGTGTCTTCTGTTCTGTACCATTGGTCTACATATCTGTTTTTGTGCCAGTTCCACACTGTTTTTATTACTGTGGCTCTGTAGTATAATTTAAGGTGTTAGACCATTTCTTTAAAAAAAAATTATTTTTTTTAGTAATTATTTTCACAACTCAGAACTCATTTATGTCAAGACATTTTTCCATAAATGTATGCTGAGTCCTACCTAGTCAGGTAATCCCATGAAAATTATAATTACAAATTTTTGTAGCATCTTTAGTAAATTAAGACATTGCCATAAGCAAATAAAATGTGATTAACTCCCATATTTAATATTCAACTTAAATCTTCTTTGTCAAATATGATGAAGGGCTGTTGAGTGAAAATTTTGAGCTAGAAGTGTAGGCCTTGCAGGGTCTGAATAAACCTTTTATTCATATAACTTAAGTTTGGCTAAATTAAGGAGTCCRGAACTCTGTTTCTTCATCTTTAAAAAAGGGTAGCATTATTCGATGGAGTTGTTACAAAGTTTAATGAGCTTTCTTCCCAGTACTAAACCCAGAGTCTACCACATAATAATCTCTTCATAATTTTTAACTGTTATTACTATTAATAATGTTGTTATTAAGGGAAAGTATAGTTTTTGGAGTCACAAGAATCCGATTTGATTCTCCTTTTTATTGTTAGTTAAGAATTATATAATCTTGGATAAGTCATGTAATGTTTCTTAGACTTTCCAATCATGAATGGGGTAGTAACAACTACCTTAAGTTATTGTGAGAGTTAAGTGGTCTGCATGTCTGATATATTTGGTGTAGTCCTGTTACATAATATTGGCTATCAAATGCACTCTTTTCATTTGTATTCTTAATTTTAGGTTTCTTTCTTTTCTAGTCAGGTCTTGAAAAGAGGATAGACCAGGCTGTGGAGGAATGGGATGTTGAGAAGGCTGAAGAACTCAGCAACCAGCTTGCTACTCGAGAGGTGAGTCAGACTGATTACAAATTGCACTTCAATGTTTTCTAAAATGAATCTGCATTGTTTTTGCGATTTTTAATAAGCTCAGTATTAACTGAAACTTATGCTGGAAATAATCCATAAATTGATATCCAAACCCTACATTTACTTACTTAGAGAGTTTTTCCCCAGGTATGATTAAAAGACTAGCTTTCTTTTTCCACTTGTGTCTTTAAGTTTAAACTCTTCCTGAGGGCATCCATACTTCTAAAGTCACACCCCTCAACCTTTTCTTAAACCTTGTTATAGCCTTTTTACTGCTTACTCTGCACAGCCCCCTCAGCCCTGTAGAAATGTTTACCTTTTTCCCCTGTAGTCTATAGTATAAAAGAACAGGTACTTTGAATATTCGTTTTCCAACTACAGAAGGCAACAGGAAAATTCTGACTCCTACTCCCTGGGGATAAGGGGATTCCTCCCACTGAAAATTAACTTCATATATAGACTAAAGAGCTCAGGGAGGCATGCATTTTGTTTTTTTTTTTTTTTTTTTTCTAGAAAAGAAATCTCTACCCTAGTTTTTATTTTTAGTGCCTGGAACCTTACTCGTTCTTAGCCTAACTGCTCCTGTGCTTAGGCATTATTGGGCATTATTGGGCCATCTGTAGTGAACTGCTGGCCAGGCTCAGATTCTAGCTCACTTGCAGGTGGTATTTGCTTCTAAACTGAGACTCTAGGGATAAACTTACTATTTCGGTGTACTATTCTATGGAAATACTATTGTACTCTTCCATCATCAGATGACAAAAAAGTCTGCCATTAATAATCATTATGATTTTTGTGTTTTCTCCTCATAATTTTGGCTGAATCTTGTGAGTTTTATATTTTCATGTAGGTAGAAAAGTTCAAAAGAGAGCCTTAGAGATTCCAAAAATATGTTTTTTCTTTAATCCCTTTAAAAATATGTTACATTAAATACTTCCATTGTATAGTTTGTGTGCATATATGTATGTGTTAATGTCTAATATCATGGAAATTATAAAGCTGTGGACTTCATTTAGGGGCACTGACAAGAAGCAGCATAAATCATAGGTACGTGGCTTTTCAAAAACTAAGCTGACATTTTTAAAAAGTATTTTTATTGCAGCAAAACATACATAAATTTACCTTGGCATTAAATACATCTACTCTGTTGKGCAGCCCATCACCATTGTCCATCTCCAGAACTCTCTTCATCTTGCAGAACTGAAACTCTGAACCCATTAAACAGTGGCTCCCCATTCTCCCCTTCATGCAGCCCTGGACACCCCTCTCTTTGAATGGGACTCTCACTCATAGGTACCTCTTACAAGTGGAATCATGCTTGTCCTTGTGATGTAACATCTTCAGAATCTATCCATATCCCAGTATTTGTCAGAATTTCCTTCCTTTTTCAGACTTATCAATACTCTGCGGGTATTTGTTAGATTCTGGGTGTTATGTTTTGTTTGTGCATTCAGCTGAAYGATGTTGCTATGAACATGAGTGTACTAATATCTGTTTGAATCCTGTTCTTCTTCAATATGGGTAAGCTAGGGGACCTCGTCCCTACTTGGAAAACTGTGTGCCTAAGATATCCTTTTAAAAATTCCACTCAACAAACATAGCATCTTTTATTTGTTAGCAAGTAAACTATTTGGCACTTGGAACTTATATTTCCATAGAAGTGCTGTTAGAAACAGTGGCTTAGTTTCTTGGTCAGCTTGAGAGTGTAGATAACTCATGAGATAGCCAGGTTACACCAGTGATATATCTGATCTCCAAATTTTGTAGTGCTGACCATTAGGGAATGGTGGGGAGGGGCAATGCTTGTGTGGCTGGAAGAGACTCCAGTAGGTAGATATTGTTCGTGGCTCCGACAATGGGCAGTATAGTAAGGCATCCTGTTGGGATAGGGAGGAGTGGCTCAATATCTGAGGGGGCTTTCAGGGACTGGAAAGCACAGGCAGAATAATCAGTCACTTAACTATTTCACAGTTAAGTAGGGATTTATGGAAGCTGGTGGCAGTGTCCTTTGAATCAGGAACAAAACTCATCAGAGAATCAGAGAACTGGTACTTAAATACATCACTGATGATGACATGTTGCATGTTGGGCTATGTGTTGAGCAAGTTTCTCTTGAATCCCTTTAAAAATTCCAGAAATGTGTTACTGGTTGCTCTCTGATGCTGGTTGGTCTTTGAGTTAGCTAGATAGTTCCAATAAAGCATAATACAGGCATGTGAAAAAAACAAGCAGGGCTGTAGAGTATGGCTGCACTACTGCAGCTGTAAGTATTGTGGGTTTCTGTCTCTTCTCTGGTCTGTTCAAGAGCATAGGACTCAGCCAACTGGTCTCCCATCCTCATTCTTTGTCCAGCCTTCCTTTTCTAAGACCCAAGAGTTGCATATTATCTAATCTCTTCCAAATACCATGGCAACTGTGACAGCAGAGTGCCCAGGCCAGTCAGTGGCCTTAGATTTTGGCCTTGGTAAAGGAAGAAAGGAAAAGGATAAAGTCAAGCCTACACTACAGCATTAAAATAGGAGCTCCATGTGACCCACTGATGGCTGTCCATTCCTTGTGGTCTCTTTCTGTTTAACAGTGGCACCCCCACTGTAGATTGGGTTCCTTTTAGTAGAGTTAGTAATGCTAAAACTTTGAGTTGAACATGTTTTACTTAATTTTTTTTAAAGAGAGGGAGAGAAGAGAGAGAATTTTTTAATATTTATTTTTCAGTTTTCTGTGGACACAACATCTTTATTTTTTTTTTAATATGGTGCTGAGGATCAAACCCAGCACCCCACGCATGCCAGGCGAGCGTGTTACCGCTTGAGCCACATCCCCAGCCCTTACTTAATTTGTTAAAAAAATTTATTCAGACTTTGAGAAGGTTGGAAATTTGTATGTTTTTCTCTCTTTTCTGCATACTTTAAACTTACCAGGTGTCTTACTAATTTCCTTAATAACAAAATACAATTTTGGTTTCCTGCATTTGGTTGGATTTCCTTTGTCTTTAATCTGGAGCAGTTCCTCACTCTGTCTGTTTCTTAGGAACTTGGTAATTTCGAAGAATGGAGGCCACTTGTCCAATGGCATGCCCCTCAACTTTGGTCTGCCTGATGCTTCCTCAGGTTAATTTCAGGCTGTGTATTTTGGGCAGAAAAATCAAGCAGTTGGCCATGTGTCCTTCTCAATGTGAGCTACTCAGAGGCACCTGCTATCTCTTTGTCCCATTTATTGATGGTGTTAATTTGATTATTTGATTGGGGTGGTGAATCCGTTTTGTAATCAGTATCTGTGGAGAGACAGGAGGTAGTCTGAGACTGTAGCCATCTTCTTTCTCATTCTTGTACCTTCTAGTTTTTTGTTTTCTTTTTTTTTAAGAGAGAGTGAGAGAGGAGAGAGAGAATTTTTTAATATTTATTTTTTAGTATTCGGGGGACACAACATCTTTGTTGGTATGTGGTGCTGAGGATCGAACCCGGGTTGCACGCATGCCAGGCGAGCGCACTACCGCTTGAGCCACATCCCCAGCCCTTACCTTCTAGTTTTAACATCCATTGCTGATTCCTTTCTTGCTTGATGATGATTACCAAATGACTTTAGATCTTTTAGATTTGGTTTGCTTTTACTTGGCAAACCAAATCTAAAATTTGGCTGAAGTGAGATATTTAATTATAGAATCTTTTCTGTGTCCATGTTAAATCAGTAAATGTAGACAGTTTCCTACATATGATGTTCTGGGTTGGGAAGGGGTTGCCCATTGACACTATGCGCACCTGGATTGCATTACTGACCTCCCCCACCTGCTGTACTCATCCAGGTGAACTGGCCTTGCTGAGTACAGTATAAAGCTGCCTGGAAAAATACCTGGAAGCAGTACTGAAGGCTTCAGGAAGGAGTGTTTATTTGAGGATTTTTGGTATTTTGTTATCCTGTTTTAGAAATGGAACTTTTATAAATAATATCAACAAGGTGTTTTTCATTTAAAGGTGCACTTAAATATAAATATAAATGAGTTTTTTTAAAAAAATACATATTTTCAGCACTTGTAAAGATGGGAAACATTATTCGTTTTACTTCCATAAAAATGTAATGCTTTGTTGTGTCAAATTAAAGTTATTTAGTGTAGTGTTAAATAATTCTGATTATAAGATAAACAATAATTTAGGCCCTGTACTTTCTCCTGGATAAGTGGAAAGACATCAAGACATCTGAAAAATGGCATTCAGACCTAGATACTAGAAAGATACTGAGGGCACATTAATTAAGCACCCATGAAGAATAACTGATGAAGATGGAATTCCTGAATGAATAGTTTAGTTTGAGCTTTAAATTTTCTTATTCATCTTGGTGGTGCTATCACTGTGGATACAGGAGATAGGATTTTGAGAAGTAAGTGTAAGTTTAGGATAGAAACTCGTTATGAATCTAAGTGTCCGCATGCCTGGTAGGTGTCCTTTTGGAAATCAGGTATGTTGGTTTTTAATCAGTACCATTTTCTTTTTTCAAGAAGTGGCGACTGGGACCTGCTGATAAAGCCTTTGCTCAGAGGCACAGATCCCAGAGTTCTTAAAGCCTTTTCCAGCCATAATAAGGGAAGCTAATTTTTGATGTTTAACATTTATAAGCCTGTGAAACCAATAGGGCAGCATTAGTTTTGAGAAAAATGAAGCCAAAAGTAGAGAATAGTCCTTGAAAACAGTTCTTAAAAAACAAAATGAAACAAAGAAAAAAAAAAAAAACAACAGTGTGTCAGAATAAGCCTGTCAGTGTGCTATCATTGTGTCACAGCAAGCACATAATTTTCCAGAAACACATTCCCTTAAATTAATGATGACATTAAGGATGATACAGAGTTTGGTTTGGGGGAATGGCCTGAGTTCATGTGTTTGAAGCCTGACTTGTCTGTCAATCCTTGGTTTTTTGTGTCTTATTGGGCTGCTTTGAGACTGTCCCTCCTGTTGGTTGAATACTTTGTTTCTGTTAACAGTCTTGTAGGAAAA